GAACAGCATATCCATTTCTTTAAGGTCTAAACAAAAACTTACATTCAAAAATACTATACGGGAAAATTTAATGTCAGAGTATTTAGAACAGAACTAATATTTATTATAAATGTATGTATATACATATATATATATTATTATATTATCGTATTTGTTTATTTGAAATATACTGAGGTGTAACCTACTGTCAGTCTTAACTTAAGTCATTAAATTAAAGTTATGTCAGGGATCTGACTCGACTAGCTGTTAAGCTATTTCAGATTCCATTTTACCTAGACTGCATGTACAATTTTGAGTATTGTATGAAATATTTTCTAGGTAAATAAATTATTATTATTATTATTATTATGTGGCATGGAACCAATATTTGACACGATGCAACATGATGACTGTGCTGATCACATCAATAGGCAAAGTTCCAGCTCAAATAAAAATGATGATTCATGTTATATAGAAAATATTGGTGGACTTTTATTGGGAAATTATCAAAATCTCATAAATACACTAAGTCTCCATGGACATTTTCTGATGAGTTAAACACAAGACATTATGAAGAGAAGAATGAATTAAGTGTGAAAGAAAAAAATAATAGAACATGGAATAGCAGAAGAAAGGACCAACTTATTTAAAAGTGTAAATTGAAGTTGTAGTGGTAAAGAGAATAGAGATTTATGGACATTTATGAATGCCAAGATGCCCCAGTCTGAATGCCAAGATGCCCAGTCTGAATGCCAAGACGCAAGGCCATGAAAGAGATTGCCAAGTTACTGCAGCCAAAATGAGTGCCAAGATGGCCCACTCTGATTGCAAAGATACCCCAGTCTGAAATGCTCAAAATGTAGACTACAAACGTGAGGATCAACCTGGATCAGTACCTTTTCAGGTTTCCTAGATGGAGTGCTTGTTCTTCTCGTAGGATGACTGGAAGAATAGTCTACTTTAGGAAGAGTTGGTCGACTTCTACTACTATTTACAACTGGTGAAGCTTTCCCAATTGGCTTTGAAACAGTCTACAAGATAAAAGCAAGAAATAATGTTGAACAATTTAGATAAAAAGATTTTGACATAAGATAACACATTCATAAATGTTTTCCATTAACAAACTTACTTTTTCTTTATTTGGAATAACTCTTGGCGAAACTACAGGAGATGCTTTACCAACTGGTCTATTTGGTTTTCGAAGTCTTTCTACTTCTGGACTAGGTTCTCTACTCGGAAGATGATTCCTTAAAGTTACAACAGTTGTTTTCTGTCAATGCAAAAAGATCTGATGATGAATCAATGAAATCTGTTCTCCCATTTGCAAAAATCCTATGAAAACAAAACATTGCTTTTTTAACCCTTTCCAATTAGCAAGAAAACAACTGGATGATTTTATAGCATTTGAGAAGACAAAATTCAATGAATGTCACTGATACTCCCAAGAAATTTCCCTGTAAATAATTTTTTTTATTTGACCTGCGAAACTTGCCAAAATTTGTGTGTCTTGAAATCAAAGTGGTTTACAGTATTTAAAATAGACATCAGTCCTTAAAGCACAAGGTATTTAGTAGGATAACAAAAGTGACATTCAAGACAAAAATACCCCCCCCCCCCAAAAAAAAAAAACACAAAACATATGGCACCCAGGGCAATTTACGCAACATGCAAAGTCAGGTTTACAAGATCCATTGTAGACAAGTTAGTTGTACTGAGATTATTTTATTTCCTGGTTGTACGTGTGATACATGTTATTTTTCTCATTAATTGACACAAGTTAGCTTCCTATACACAATATGAATGTCACTACTTACTTCTAATTTCTGCAGTTTCTCTTCCCTTCTTCTAATTTCCTAGAAGAAATTATGGATGATACCCATGTTATATTTTACACAACTGTACACAGTAAAGAGGACTATTTTTATTATTATTTATTTATTTACTGAATGTAGATTTTGTTGAAAACATCATACTATTATGGGTTTCCATCTTTAAATAAGAGCAAACAAATCACTTTATTTGTTTTACATAGATGTTGATTCAGATAAGTCATTAACTTTTTGTTTTTTAGCCACAAGAACCAATCGTAAATGGCTCAAAAATAAGCATGGGTGTTTGACACATGCCTTTGTGCAAAAGGTAGCTATGTAACTACATGCAATAAAACTATATGGAGTAAAGGAAGTCTGTTGATGATTTAAATGGTAGCAAACTACTGTATAATACTTTATTTTCACTGAGGGGCTGATTCAGTGAAAATAAAATCCAGCAAATATACAATTTTTCATATATTTTACATTCAACTTGTCAAATATCAGTGAAAATGTATTCCAGCACCATAAATAGAGCATAATGCATCATCAGACACTGTTATCAGGAGTTGTGCTTTTGAAAGACAAATAACAAATATTGTTACAAAGCAGATACCTCTAACAAGCCCTTTTTCTTGTCTTCTGATGACTTGGCTTCTTTTTTCAGTTGTCCTAGGGGTGTGATATATTTTTGTTCCCCAGCTGTACACCTAGAATGAACAACAGAAATTGATGATAGTCTGGATCTATTAATGTTCAGCATTAATGTTCAACTTTAATAATTATATTTTATTTATAATTTGTCTGGTAGTGACAATCTCTACGGGGCTGTTTAAACTGATATCATCAGCGGATATTATGCTAGCAAGATGATAATTTATACAGCCAATCACTAAACAGCAATCAGGCATCGAGACAAAAGGTTCAATTGGAATAGAATCCTGAGCATATGTACCTGTTATGACTAGTGTCAGGATTCATCTCACAAACCCAATAATCCGGGATATCTTTATTTAATAAATTACTGGCAGAAAATGGAAGAACTCTCCATTTTAAACAGGAATCTGAAGAAAAACAACAACAAAAGGTTTAATAGGAACACTCAAAGGGGCACAGAGTCACATTTTCAGTAGGAAAATCGAGACACAGAGCCACATTTTCACCCGGGAACTGAATGGTCTAATTCAGAAACAAATTGTGTTTGAGTAGATGAAATCGGATAGAAATATGCCACAACACATACTTACCACATTGTATGGTGACTGGTAGTTGCATTGCTCGTTTCCTGAGATATTTAGTATCATTTGAGGGCGGCTCTTTCCACAATGGACTAATATAACCAAAGTTTTCCCAAAATTTTGTGACTCCTTGTTGAACTGTTGATGAGAACATATATTGCATTAAATCATGTTTTCTCTGGAATTGATGTCTGCAACATTGGAATGCTATCATAAATCTTACATTTCATGGCACAATATGGGAGACAGTCAATCACAATAAGTGAAAGTCATCTAGTTGGTAAGAGGTAAAAGGTCCTTTTGTGCTGTGCACATCAAAATCAGAATTAGAGTTATTATAGGGGTTTATGTATGATTAAAATTTGAAACACTGATGCATGAAATATGTACTTGACCTCAATGTATCAGTCAAAAGGAAAAACGACCTCAATATGTCAGTCAATGATTGACACACGGACCTCAATGTATCAGTCAATGATTGACACACACGGACCTCAATGTATCAGTCAATGATTGACACACAGACCTCAATGTTTCAGTCAATGATTGACACACAGACCTCAATGTATCAGTCAATGATTGACACACACGAACCTCAATGTTTCAGTCAATGATTGAAACACAGACCTCAATGTTTCAGTCAATGATTGACACACAGACCTCAATGTTTCAGTCAATGATTGACACAGACCTCAATGTATCAGTCAATGATTGACACACACGGACCTCAATGTATCAGTCAATAATTGACACACGGACCTCAATGTACCAGTCAATGATTGAAACACACGGACCTCAATGTACCAGTCAATGATTGAAACACACGGACCTCAATGTACCAGTCAATGATTGAAACACGCGGACCTCAATGTACCAGTCAATGATTGACACCGACCTCAATGTACCAGTCAATGATTGACACACAGACCTCAATGTACCAGTCAATGATTGAAACACACGAACCTCAATGTACCAGTCAATGATTGACACACGATCCTCAATGTACCAGTCAATGATTGACACACGGACATCAATGTACCAATCAATGATTGACACAAACACCTCAATGTATCAGCAATGATTGAGACACAGACCTCAATATTTCAGTCAATGATTGACACGAACCTCAATGTATCAGTCAATGATTGACACACGAAGCTCAATGTATCAGTCAATGATTGACACACGGACCTCAATGTACCAGTCAATGATTGAAACACACGGACCTCAATGTACCAGTCAATGATTGAAACACACGGACCTCAATGTATCAGTCAATGATTGAAACACGCGGACCTCAATGTACCAGTCAATGATTGACACACAGACCTCAATGTACCAGTCAATGATTGACACACGGACCTCAATGTTTCAGTCAATGATTGACACACGGACCTCAATGTTTCAGTCAATGATTGACACACACACTTCAATGTTTCAGTCAATGATTGACACACACACCTCAATGTTTCAGTCAATGATTGACACACGGACCTCAATGTTTCAGTCAATGATTGACACACACACCTCAATGTGCCAGTCAATGATTGACACGCACACACACCTCAATGTGCCAGTCAATGATTGACACACACACACACCTCAATGTGTCAGTCAATGATTGACACACAGACATCCATGTGTCATTCAATACTGCTAAGAAAACACCCACCTTCCCCAATGTGACGTGAACACACTACTCATTGTATCTTGTATTTGAATGGAAACAAGACACTAATCAAAAGGAAGTCTCATAAATTGAACAAGATTTTTTTCCTGAAAAGTTATTTTTCTTGATCTTTATTTTTAAAGATGTGAAAAACAAATAATGTCATATAGTTAAAGTCACTGGTATTTGGGACATGACATGCATTAGTCATGCCTTGTCATATGGATGTGTGATAATCAACAAAACATTTAATAGTGTATTTTCAGTTCACTGCAATATCTCACAAAATGCGTGAAAAGCACAGACCAAATTCCTGCCACAAAAATGTGTTTTTTTATGTCTGTGTCAAAATGCTGATCTTTGAGAGCATTGAGATACCCTTTACTTCATTCAAATTTACCATTATCAAATGTGTACACAAATGTGAAAATACATTTGATTTTATACATAGCACATAGACACGCAGTTTATTAGAGGTCTTGTTGTATGCAGTACCGTAAAATCTGTATTAGAAGCCGCATCCCTAATAGAAGTCGCACCCATTCTTTTTGAACAGTTGAGAACCAAAAATTCACCATTTCTCATATGTGTAGATGCTCTAATAGAAGCCATATCCCCTCTGTTGCATTGTACCATTTTAATAGAAGCCACGGTTTCTAATACAGATTTTACAGTATATGATAACTTACCTATTCCTAAATCTTTCCAATACTGCTCTAAATGATCTCCCATAGATTTCAATAAGTGTCTGTATTCTTTAGCATCAGCAAAGTCTTGTTTATTATGAGTTGGTTCAAGTACTAAATACGGCACATCAACAATACCTAATACACCACTACAATTCCTGATAAAATAAAAACATGTGGCCATCAATGCATTGAAACTATCAGTACAATGTTATGGTTAATAAGAGGGTTCTGAAATGTTTAACATAGTCTCCGATAAATAAAACTAATAAAACTACACCACAAATTGTTATATTTTTCTGTGCAACAGCATACATCAAGCACACGGCCAAAACCTAAACTTGCTTTAGAGTGACATTTATGTTGGATTTTAGCAAAGTCAAGAACAAATTGTTCACAAAATAATGTACACCTTAAATATCAAGGTAATTAAGTTGGTAGTGTTCAAAAAGAATTAAATCAAAGAAAGCTTAGAAAGAACTCCCATGTGCTGAGAGTATTGGAGACATATTAAATAGAATAATTAGTACTTTAGATATCAGTGTGAAAGCTTAAAATTGGTTAATTATGCAAATTAGGTGATTAATATGCACAAATATTTATCGGAAACAATCAATCTCTGCATAGTCCTTGAGTATGAAAGTACCAAGTTTCATTGAAATGTAATGCTCACTACTTGAAACATCAAATGCTGAAAATTAATTAATTATGCAAATTAGGTAATTAATATGTACTGATATTACCATAAAAACTATCAGGTATGTGCAGTGTCATATGACATCTGTGTACCAAGTTTTATTGAAATGTGATGATTAGTACTTGAGATATCAGTGGAAAAACCGAAAATTGACTAATCATTATGCAAATTAGTATCTACGGATTATTACCAAAAACTAATCAAAACCTAGCATTAGTTCAGAGCATCTATGTACAAAGTTTCATCAAAATCCAATGAGTGGTTGTTTAGATATCAGTGGAACAGTCATGGAACCGCTAAAAATTATCTAATTATCATGCAAATTGGGTAATTAATATGCACAGATTTTTACCAAAAACTAATCAAATCTGTGCATATGTTCAGAGAATCTATGTACCAAGTTTCATCAAAATCCAATGAGTGGTTCTTTAGATATCAGTGGAACAGTCATAGAACAGCTAAAAATTAGCTAATTATCATGCAAATTAGGTAATTAACAAGTCATGAATGACACTGCCTTCGCTAGTTGTCATTCTAAAGTTGCATGGACATAAATTGGCAAACATGATTTCTATGGCATTTTCAAGTTTATAGCACTCTCCATCCAGGTCAGCATTATTCTCAGCAAGGAAACCAGATAGCACCAAACCAGTACAACAGGTAAAATGACAAGGAAGTATACAAATCAGATCTGCAAATATGTAGAGTCAGTGTTGTGTCTGTTTGGATAAACTAGTTTGTGGCCCTGGATCAGTTTCAATATCTCTAATAAGGACAAGATTACTTCTCATACGACAATGATACAAATAAAGTACAAAAATCCAGAAGAATATTATCAAGTTTTTATTATCATACATTAATATTAACAAATTGTGTGAAATTTTATGTGCAGAGAAAACACATATTTAAAAAAAAAAAAGAGGACCTGCGAAACTTTATACAATTGTCAGACACGCAGTGAATAGCACCGGTATGTTTTTGTAATACATGTAGTTCCAGTGCCTTTGCTTTCTGAGAAAAAAATCTGGCCGTGCACCTGAAAAAAACACAAAAAAAAACATTTAGTCCAAAGTAAGCAGAGGTTGTAGCATA